TGTTTAGATGTCTTTTATCACTTAATAATTTGTAATCTTTTCAAGAGGATGTGTCAGATTAGTTATATAATAATTTGTTTTAGATTTGATTGGATTTGTTGGATAACCAAAGTTAATTTTGAAAAAAGTTTTAATTTATTTTGTTTGAGTTGAAATATGAGTTTGCATTAAATCGATATTTAAAATATAATAATTAAACTTGATTTGATGTGAATGTATGAAAGAAGTGATTCGAAGTGATGTGCAACAAAAATTATTTGAGTGTATGAATAATGAATTAAAGTAAATGTGATGCGTGAGGATGATTGACTGATATTATTTAATTACATTGATAATATTAAGGAGCGTCGTTTTGAGTTAGATTGTTGGATAGAGTTAGATTTGAATTAGATTTTGATTTTTATTTTTTTTTTTAAAAAAATCTCGTCAATGACCAAATTTCTTGTAGCCAATCAAGGCCTAAACCCATGAACATAAACTGATCAGATCAGGAGAGTTAGAACATCTTCAATGGAAATTGTGTTGTATGACGTGAAGAAAGAAAATTAAACAATACGTCTTCAATTATTAGTGTTTATTGTGGTATCATTTGTGATGCGTAAAATTGTAATTGGTTGGAAAAGTGAGATAAAGTGAACAAATAATATTGCAATTAGTTGGAGAAGTGAGATAAGGCGAACAAATAATATAATATATAATAGAAATTGTTTAGAATGACTTCTACATCTAGAAAGTCAATAAGATATTTTCCATGCTACATAAGATTTTTTATGTCATGTGACAACAAAATAAAGCAATGGAAAAAATCATTGAAAATACTCTAGTAGGCTTTATATTGGGCTGCCATCTAGGTATGATTTGGATCCCAATTTGGGCTAATTGATTCTTTTGTTAGATATATAGCCTCGATTTGTATTGCTATGTGAAAGCTCATGGGCTTTAGCACACCACTCCATGTGCTCAGTCTAGAAGTTTTTTTTGATTTGTTTTTTTTTTTAATAAATGTCTTTTATATATTTACTAATTTTTGTTGTTTTTTATTTGTAAATACGGCATTAGAAATAAAATAATAAATGTAGTACTTATAAAAATAAACCACAAAATTAGAATATTTAATGTTGCCCAAATTTCGAACAACGAAAATATGTGATTTTGTGCAAGAGCAGGAAAAATAGATATTAGATAAAATGACTTTTTTTTTTTTTTTAATT